GCCGTTTTCAGGCTGGTGGGTGACTGAAGCTCCCAACTGCTCCTTTTTTTCTTTTTTTTTTCTATTCTGGGCCAGCTTTAGCTCTGAGGCCTCGGCTCTCGCCTTTAGCTTCTGTATTTGATACAATGTTGCGGTCAGGCTGGCTGAAGCCTGGCTGACTGAAAGCCGGTTTCTGGGGTTTTGTTTAGCTTCTATATTTGCAACATAGTACATAGTTGCTTAGAGTTGCAGCTGAGAGGCTGGCAAGTCAGGCGGGGAACGTTGGAGTCCGCAGTCACTGGAGCAAGCAAGCCTCCCTGTTCGCTTCAGTGCATGGCTGCCGGCCGCCATCTTGGCTGACAGTTAATTTGCATAAGGATATGCTGATTAGCCAATGGGAAGGGTAGCAGAGTGACACCAATTTGCATGTTTCTCTTTTATTAGTGTAGATAGATTATGGAGACTGACCCTGTTTTATATATGTTGCAAATATCTTTTTTTTTTTTTTGCAAATATCTTTACATGGTTTGTCATTTGCTTTGGAACTGTTGATGGGACCTTTTGATATATGTAGTGCTTAACATCTTCATGTAGTGAAATGTATTAGTCTTTTTCCGTAAGAGCAATGAGGTCCAGTTCAGGCTTTGAAAGTTACTTTCCAACATTAAATCATAATAATATTCTAGTGGTTCTGGCATTTTCATGGATTTGCTTATATGTCCTGTTTATATCTTTAACCCAAATAAATTTCTGTTTGGATGTGGTGCTTGTACTATATTTAAAATAGGATCCTCCGCCCTCTCACTCTGTATCCTATTTTGTCATACCTGCTTGTTTGTCTGCTGCTCATCTCCCCTGGCTAGACCCTCAGCTCCACCAAGGCACGGGCCTTTTCTGTTCTGGTTACTGCTGTGCCCAGAACAGTGTACATAGTAGGTACTTAACAAATATTTGTTGAATGAATAGACAGAGAGTGGTCACAGCTCTCCTATTGAAATCATCCATTCTTTCTCTGGTAATTCGGAATTCCATCTTTGACAGCCTTTTCTGTGTCTTCTATCATTATTGGTCTGCTTAGGTTTTTTTCCTCTTCTTCAGTTTTTACAATTTATAATTTTCTAGAAAATCATCAAGTTTCAAATTCTTTGACATCAGCTATGTATCAAATTCTCTTAAATTTTAAAAAATGTTCATACACATGTTTCTATTACCTTTGTTAATGGTTATTTGTGGCTTTGCTCTCTGCTGCTGATCAGATTAGCCAGAGGTTTTTCCATTTTGTTGATCACAGAGAACCAGTTTGCGGCTTAATATTGCTATTATTGCAGCTGCTGGACTTGTCTCATTACCGTGTGTTTTTGTTTTCAACTTTATTCATTTCTTCCTTCTAGGTCATTTTGGTTTAATTTATTGTTTTTCAGCTTCTTGGTTTAGATGCTTAATTCACTGAGTTTCAACCTTATTTTATCATAAAAGCATTTAAGTTTTGTGTTTTTTCCTCTAAATGAAGCTTTGGTTACATTCCACAGATTTTTAAAAATAGGGTTCTCACTGTTGGGCATTTATACATATTCTGCAATCTCAGTCTTGCTGTCCTTTTTGACTCAAGAGTTACTTAGAAAAGCATTTTAAGTTGTCATGGACATAGGTTCCTTTTTTTTACTTTTGCTACTTGTTTGTTTCTAATTCTACTGCACTGAGAACTGAGACTGTGGTGTATGTATAGGAATTTGAGATTTTCTTGGCATCTAGTACGAGGACGTTTGAGAAAAGGGCGTTTTCTCTGTTCTCGAGGGCATATGAAGTTAGGCTTACTACCTATCTTCAAACCCTCCACAGTTTTCACTGGAGGGTCCTTGTACCATCAAATCTTGAGTAATGTGCTCAGCCTGCACTGTTGTTTTGCCTCCTTCTTCTGGTTTTGAGAAGGTATTATTTCATATGTTTTATGGGTCTGTTGTCTAGGGTGAAGGTAAAGGTTCATGATATTTGTATCTTCCTGGAAAAATAGACCTAGCAATGTCTAATGCCCCTTTTTATTTTATCTGACATTTTTGCATTTGGGCTGATATTAACATTGACTTTCCTGCCTTCTTTTTGTTACCATTTTGCCTATTCCGCGCTTTGCCATTTCTTTGCTTTGAACCTTCCTGTGTTGATTTGCTTTAACTGCCTCACTTCCAAACAGCATGTGGCTGGGGGAGTAGAGTGATTTAATTTATTCACATTCTTATGTTTATTGATGTGTGTGGTCTTTCTTTATCTTATTTCATGTCTTTTTTTTTTAATGATACTTTTTTCATTCCTGTCTAGTTTTCCCTTTCCTAACTCTTGCTGAATTACTTGAATTTTCTTTGTTACTCCCTTCCCTCCCCCACACACGGTGGTTTAAACGGTCTGTAACTTATTTTTCTTCTAGAAATGGTTACCCTTAAAGGAAAACTTCAAGCCCATACTTCTCTACTAATGTTAAGAATTAAATGGTGTCTATTTCCCAACAAGATGAGACCATTACTATCAACATTTGTTTAGATCTGACTGTACATGTTTCTGCTTTTATTGTTCATCACTGTTTCCTGTGTATCCTGTCTTGCCCTTTCTTGAATGACTTATTCTGATACAGCTTTTATTTGGTTGGAGTAATTCCTTGAGTAATTTTGTTAAGGTAAGTGGGTGGCATACTATTTTTAGTACTTCTCTCTTTGGCTTTGAGACTTGGCTGAGTAACGGATCTCGGGGTTTAACTCTCTTTCCTCAGAGCTCTGTAGTCTTTGCTCTGTTGCCCTCTAGCAGTAGGTGATACGATGTCAAGTCCAATGTCAATTTGATTCTCAAAGTTTTTGTAGAGACTGTCAGAGATGAAGCTAAGTTTATTGCTCTCCATGGAGCCAGAGCCTTATGTCTGGAGGAACAGGGTGAGGTGGGACTTGCTGATTGGAAGTCCCTAAAATGGGGTATGTGGGAGTGATGGAAAAAAGGAGGAGGAATTTTTGAGGCAAAGCAATGAATTCAATCAATCTTAGGGCACACACTTTTTTAAAATCCTCACTGGAGGATATGTTTATTGATTCTGAGAGAGAGAGAGAGAGAGAGAGAGAGAGAGAGAGAGAGAGAGAGAGGTGTGAGAAACACTGATTGGTTGCCTCCTGTACAAACCCTGACCGGGGATTAAACTCACAACCTAGGTGTGTGCCCTGACTTGTAATCGAACCCACAACCTTTGGTGTGCAGGACGATGCTCCACCCAACTGAGCCACCCAGCTGAGGCAGGGCACAAACTATTGATTGAAGAGGTAATGGGTCTTTAGAAGGTTTCTGTAACATACAATCAAGCCGTTTGCCAGGGCTAGTCTCCTGGAAGAGGAAAGGCATGCTAATGAAGGCAGTGTGAGGATCTGTGATGACTCTTCCCCCCTCCCCACCCCACTTTAGTTTCTTTGGAAACTTGAAGGATTCACTCATTATCCTTGGATTTTAGGGGTTCCATCAGCCTGCCCTAGCTCCTGCTGCCTCTGAGGGAGCCTCCTGGGTGTTTGGCAGGTGGGCCTTGCCCTGCCCTTGTTGGGCGAGGCTGGCTTAGCTCTGATTAGATTTTCTGTCACTGCCACCCGTCTGCTTTTCCTCAGACTTGCTGACCAGCTGGTGCTACTATGGGTCTGTTCTTATTCGACATTTCTCTCTATTTCAGCAGGGTCTGGAGGAGAGGTGAACAAATGGGCTCAGCTTCCCGTGTGGAGCCTCGGGTGTGTGTACCTTTTCAGGGTGGTGGGGATACAGGTGTGTCCACCACCTCTCCCACCTGCCACTGGAAGCCAGGGGTGGCATTCAGGTGATTCTGGCCTCCCTCATGGGTGGGAGAGCGGCGGCTCCCTCCCTCCACCTCATCCCATCCTCTCCTTGAGCCACACCCCTGGTCTGACTGCATTACCTCACTGACTAAAACAATTCGGTGACCTCACTCCACTGTGAGATCAAGTCCAGGCTATCTCATATACCAAGTTCTTCCCTGGCCCAACTCTCCCCTTGTGAGCTATCACTGCCCCTCACCTCCTGACGGTGCACAGCAGGCAGTTCTTACACATTTGGCCAGTTCGGGGTCTCCTGTCTACGTACACGGGTCCCTTTGTTTAAAATACCCTCTTCCTCTTTCTGTCACATGCTCAGGCACCATCTGAATGGACTACTCTCTTCTTTCTGCCTTCACCAGGGGGTAGCTTAGAGCCAGTGACCCTGGAATGCATCCCATGGCCCCTTACCCCTAATGTGATCCCCTTGAAGGTAGGGGCTGAATCTTTGCCGTCTTGTATTCTCAGCAGCTGTCGCCAGGCCTGACCCAAATAAGCTGTTAAATGAATGAACAACCGAATTAGTTTCTAAAGAGAAGTGCTCTACCCTGACTGTGTACAAAGGCATCATAGCAGGCTCTAGGGGTGGGGGGTGAGTCAGACCGACCCCGCCAAGCTGTGTGTAGTCCACACGGGGTGCCAGACACCTGGGGGCACTGTCGTTGATCTCGAAAGGCACAGCAGCTGTGTTCTGGGTGCTCTGGGGAGGCGGGACCTGTGTCCAGTTTGGGGGAGCTGAGTGCGTCTTGAGGGAGGAAGGGCAGGATTTGGCCGGGTGGATACAGACATGGCCGTGGGGGGAGGGAGTAGCATTTTATCAAAGATTCGGAGGTGGGAAATTGTGGACTGTTTATAGAATAGCATGTTCTGAGAAGTCAGTGTTTCTACCCTGGGAGGGATCGAGCACAGACGTTTTTAGTAAGAATTGAGATGGAGTGGAGAGTGTGAGGTTGGATCTGGGGAGGGTGGGAAACCGTGGAGTGTGAAGAGCTTGGACAGCAGGATCAGACAATGATCAGGAGCTGCGGAGCAAGTTCGGCCGCACTCTGTGGTGGCCCGCTGCTGTTTTGGCGTGTGGGTGGGACATGGCTGGCTGGGACCAGGTAGAGAGTGCTCTGTGTCTAAAGAAGTTGACCAAGCAAACTCCTTGACCATGTGTTTCAACCGCCCCTGCAGGATTTGAGACACAAACCGGGCAGCCTTGAACTAGTTCATGGAGGAGCCGCAAGAGACACTGTCCAGGCAAGCTCTCCCTTGGAGAGGGAAGAGCAGAGAGTGAGGGAGGGCGGCGCAGGAGTGGACATGAACGCTGGTTTTCAACGAGAACAGCGTTTCAGTTTTGGTCATCGGAAGTGGTGCCTGCAGCACAGGTAAGAAATGGGCGGGCGCTGAAAATGCTCGCTGGGGAGCCATTTGGGTTATTCTTGCATAAGCTTGCTAGTGTCCATCTGCTTTGAAATGTATTATTTTTGTTGTTGTTATTGCCTTCCGTCAGCCTCGGTGATAGCCAGATGTTCTGGGGACTTCCTTGGCCAGGAGTAGAGACCTTGAGTGCAGGCACTCTTTCACTGCCTCATGCTGTGTCCAAGTGTAGTCCTGGGCCCTCAGTTCCTCAGTTTCCATTCTGTCCCTGGCAACAACTCCTCTCCAGGGGAGCACAGCCTCCCCGCCCGCCAGCCCCACTGTGTCCTGCTCTCCAGAGCTCCCCCACCTCTTTGCCTCTCCCCACCCCCCATCCATGAAGGCTCTTGTCACCCACTCCCTGGTCAGAGGAGCCCAGTGGGTGCTGAAGACTGAGCACCATCTCTTCAGGGCCCACCCCTTTGTTAAGAGTTGAAAGGATGTCAGGTTCAGGGCCATGGCTGCACATCAGAATCACCTGGAGAATTCCTTAAAGTTCCAGTAGCGGGGCCCCAAGCTCCAAAGATACTTACTGAGCTGGCCTGGGAAGCGCCCCAGCGGTTAGGGTGTGTGTGTGTGTGTGTGTGTGTGTGTGTGTGTGTGTGTGAGAGAGAGAGAGAGAGAGAGAGAGATCTTTTTTGTTCTTCAGGTATGTGTGATGGTTTCAGGTTAGAAGTTCAAGTTAGATGTGTGGTGTAGAAGCTCACTGGGTTGGAAATATGTCTTGGATGTTTTTTCTGGCTGTAGGTGCATCAGAATTGCCAAAGATGGGGATGGGGGTGGGGTGGGGTGGGGTGGGAGTGCCAGGTTAAAAAAAAGAAAAAAAGTTGACTCCCTGGCCCACCAATGCTCTTTGAATCAGACTGTCTGAGGGGTGAGGATACAGAGACCTGTATTTTGATTCTGATACAGCAAGGCCTGGCCTCTGGGCCTCCTACCGGGGTCTCTGGAAGGCTAGTCCTGTGGGCATGGCTCTGAGCCCCAGGGGTTGCTTCCCAGCCCTGTATGTGGTCAGCATCCCCTTCCCTCCAAGCGAAAGTTTTCTCATGGAGAGGAGAGCAGGCCTTAGACACCCCTGAACTGTGGGTGCCAGGCCCAGGCCTCTGCAGGGTTTTCAGTGGAGGGGGAGGAATCATCCCCTGGACTCTGAGGAAGGCCTGGGCATCAAGCCTCATTTTTATTTTATTTTATTTTTTAAAAAAGAAGTTCAACTTCTTTTTTTAAGTATATTTTATTGATTTTTTACAAAGAGGAAGGGAGAGGGATAGAGAGTTAGAAACATCGATGAGAGAGAAACATTGATCAGCTGCCTCCTGCACACCTCCTACCGGGGATGCGCCCACAACCAAGGTACATGCCCTTGACCGGAATCGAACCTGGGACCTTTCAGTCCACAGGCCGATACTCTATCCACTGAGCCAAACGGTTAGGGCGAGCCTCATTTTTAGAGGCTATTTGATGTGGTGCTTAATAATAAAAGTTCTGGGTCTCCCCAAGCTCCAACCCCAGCCCCAGCAGCTGCTCAGTCCCTCTGCCTCATCTCTCACTTACAAAATAGGAAAATTGTGGTGCCTACCTCACGGGGCTGCTGTGAAATACAGGTAAGGCCCCTAGAACCATGCGGGGCACACAGCAAGGGCTCCCCAAACACGAGCAGCCCCACTGACTCACAGGCAGCTGGGCCGCCACCCGTCCTGCCAGGAGCAGTGCTGTGACATGTCTGCCGGGCTCTGCCCTTGGGTCAAGGTGCCTGAGTTCCTGAGAGTCGGGGTGAAGAAAGGGGCCGGCACTGCAGGTGGGCCCTGACACTTTACACTTTACAGATAAGACTAGGTCCTGCAGAAAACCCAGCGCAGCTGGTCCCATTGCCCCTTTTGTGAAAATAAGGAAAAGCATGAAGAGGTGTAGTAGTTTGAAGATAGTCACACAGCTAACAAGGAGCAGAGCCTCTGGTTACAAAAGACCCAGTAGTTCTCCACTAAGATGCGTCCTGAGGAGCCCTAATAGCTTCAAGGATGCCCCCCACTCCCACAGAAATGTCTACATGTCACAGGCATCAATAGAGCTGGAATGAGTGGGTCCCCTTTCCTCGGCATCCTGGGATGATTTCTCATGGGGCCTCAAATTAGCATTTATTTCCTCTGCACATATCAGTTAGATCGTGGGTCTCCTCCATGGGCAGTCTCAGGGCAGAGCTGGGCTTATTCAGCTAGGGGTGCAGTGGGTACCTGAGAAACCGCTGAGGGATGCAGGCAGAGATATGGGGGAGCTGTCCTGGGCAGAGCAGAGGAGGAATCCTCCCCAGACCTGGCATGTGCCCTCTCCGCTTCACTCCCAGACTGTCCTTTTGTCCACGTGGCTCTGCCAGCTGCAGGGAAGAGTCTGTAGAGGATGGGACTGGCTCAGAGGGAAGTGAGCTGTCAGTTCCAGCAAGAAGTCTGCTCCCCACCCCTTCCTGTGCTCTCCCGAGGGAATAAAAGCATCTGTGATTAATGGGATGCTGACTCAGTGCTTCTGGAGTGCCCGGCACGCATGGCCCACTGCTGGCCCGGCTTCCCCAGCCACCAGGAAGGGGCTGGAATCCAGGGCATCTGCGTGAGTGGAAGGCTCAGGCCCGGCAGGTGTGCCACGTGCCAGCCTTCCGTGGCCTCGTGGACTCCCCTGTGTTGGAGAGGCCATTGACACCATCTGAAATGTGGAGTCAGAGCCCCTCCTTCAGTAAGGGCCTCGTTTCAGAATAAATGTGATTTCCGAATCAGTGACTAGAGGGCGAACCTACTTTGAAAATGGACATGAAAGCGTTTTTCTCAGCCGCAAAGCTCCGTGCTAGTAGTTTGCAAACTTTTGTCGTCTTAGAAGCCATTTTTCACCCGTCAAATCCTGCCTGGGATGCCAAGGATACAAAACGGGTTAAAGTGGTAGTTTATTAATACACATTTGTTTATAAAGTAAAAATTTTAACACCTGTTTATTCTCACCGTCCATCAATAGAACAATGACTCTGATGCATGAAAGCACTGGAATCTCGGGTCTAGATGGGGGTGGGCAAACTACAGCCTGATTATTGTAAATTAAATGTTACTGGAGCACAGCCATGCCACTCATTCACATATTGGCTGCTCTCCAATGGCAGAGCGGAGTGGTTGGGACAGACCGTCTGTCCCACAGAGACAGAAATACTATTCGGCCCTTTCTGGAAGTTTGCTGGCCTGTGTTCTAGATGCTATAGCAGCTGTAACGCCCAGGATTGCCTCTGTGTTTTTGTTTTTGTTTTGGCTGGTTGCGCAGGGTTAGGAAAATTCTCAGTCATATCAGTCAGAGGCTGTGAGTGGCAGCCGGTTCTAACGACTTACCTGCAGCCCAGGATGGACTTCAGTTCACAGTTCTGCAGACATGCGGGACGAGAAGGGAATTCTGGTTTGCATCACTGACAGTTTCAAACGACTGCTTGAATTCCTTCTTATTACAACACTCAGACAGGAAGCACACAGTCATTTATTGCATTTTTGTGATAATTCATGTAATACGTTTTCATATCGCTGAGAGCCTCAGAGGGATCTTGTTTGTGTGGTTTATGGAAGCATGTATAGTCCTGAATTTCAACAACTACGGAAAGATGCCCAGTAAAGAGCTCCAACTTTCCAGCTGAAGACATATTTCAACACTGCAGCTCAAGATCTGCCAGGCTTAGCCTGAAGCACACACCCGGTTAAGCGGCACCCGCGGCTGTGCTCCGTGGGCACCCTGTGCCATAGGCCATGATGTAAGGCGCAGGTCCATTTTTCTTAGAGGCTTCACTAGGAGTCAAACTATAATTTGGAATAAAATCTCACGTGACACTTGAGGCGCCCCGGAAACACTCCCATGGAACCCAACTTGGAAACTGCCCCTTTGGCAGGTTTTGGTGGTTCTCGTTTCTGTGCTGAAGGATAACGGAGGAGCCACGGATGCCCAGAGTGGGGAGGAGGCAGTAAAAGATGGTGGAGGAGAGAAGTGAGGTGACCAGGAAGGGGGTGCAGGAAGCACGGAGAAACCTCCTCTCGTGAGTTTCTGCCAAAGTTAAGGTGTCTCCTAACTATTGATGACGTAAACGCAGCTCTCTTCGGCTCCTCTAATGAGTTCCAGCCGTGGGCTTGGAGGAAGGGGTCCAGAAGAACGTGGGGAAAGTTTAAAATATTGGAAGAGAAATGGGGTGGGGTGGAACGAGCATACGGATAGCTTCTAATCAGTATGCAAAGGGCCTTTGCGCCCACTCAGCAGATCAAGGTGGGGGAAGGGGCAGGGGAGAGGCGAGGAAGGCAGAGGTCAGCTGGGTCAGCACGCCAAGCCCGCTTTGGGCAGGAAGAGGGCCCATGAGCATGGGCAACGCTTGTGAGTAACCCGGCAGGGCCCCAGGCAGGTGGTGACTGGGTTGGGCAATGGCTTTGGGCAGTGGAGGCAAAGCCTACAGAGCCAGGAATAAAACCCAGGAGTCCCTCCTCCCAGGCCTCCTGCCTTCCCTCGGTGGGTGCAGGGAGGGAAGGGCGAGCCTGCTGGCTTTGTGAGGCTGTGGGCTGGAGAAGGCCTCTTGGGGATAAAAAAGCACCAGTTCTTTCTGAGGTTTTGCTGCTCACCCCATAGAAAAAGAACATTTTTAGATTTTAAAGGGATGACCTCATTTTTTTTCTTATTTACATAGCCCTGTTTGTTTATCTAGTCCTTTAAAAATAGCAAACGTGTGCTAAGCTTAGTGCTCTCTCCCACCACCACCAGCAGAGCCACTGTGTGGGGAGAAACACCTTTTTATCTAAGAGAGGGGCAGCCTTGTTTCCCAGGACAGATGGGAGCAAAACGGGACAGGTAGGAAGTTTCGTGGTTTTTCATGTCGCTTTTCCAAAATAGCCACACTCCTGCCTCCCACTTCCTGCCTGACTCAACTCAGGGTAGATTTTTCTCCTGTGGACGACTGTGTTCTGTGAATTCTCAGGGA